ACGGGGTTTTGATCCTACTTCATGTTCCGGCTTGGTGGGAGCCTAGCCAGTTTGGATGTTCACCTTCCTAGACATGGACGGAGGGGGGGAGGACCTTGGACTTTCCACAGGGCAGGGAACCCTGACTGCTCTTTGGACTGGAGAGGGAGGGGGAGAGGAGTGGTGGGAGGGGGAGAAGAAGGGGAGGAGGGGGAGGGAAATGGGAGGCTGGGAGGAGGCGGAAACTTTTTTTCCTTTTCTCTATAAAAAAATATATATTAAAAAAATAAATGTGAGTGCTTGCCTCTAGCTTGCCTCTAGCAAGCAGAGCCCACCTGAGAAAATGCTGCTATCAATAAATGGTGTTTAACTCTATTCTTTTCTGACTAGAATTACTTTCCAAGCTCTCTCAGGCTTATGAGGATGCAGTTGTTCATGTTGCCATGATTCTGTTGTCTGAGTTATATGTTCCAACAAGGTCCCATAGCCATTTAGTCCTTTTTCAGCAAGGCACTCACATCTTGCTTTCTTTGTGGATGGGTAAAGACTGCAGACTAAGCTTTCTTCTTCCCAATATTCTTCTGCTCTTGTTTCCCTGACTTATTTTCTGCCTGTATGTCCCTCCTATATTTCCTGCCTAAGTACTGACCAATCCGAATTTATTAAAATAAAATTGACAGGGTGTAGACCAATGTCCCAGAGCAGAACCTAGTACACATGATATACAGTAAAAGACCTAGTTAACAGTACTCCCATTCAGCAAAAATTAGTCTAGAGAATTGCACACATATTCCCAAATACTGTTTACAACAATTTGTTCACATTTAAAGGGGATATTCTATCATGATTTGTAATGGTTTAAACCTTGGTTTATTGGTACAAATTTAAGGTCAATTTTATATATAAAACATATATAATATAAATATATATATATATGCTCTCATTGAAAAAATGTATTGTATAATTAAGAACTATATATAAATAGAGAGTCAGCTACAATAGTCAAGTTTATAGTCATGTAAGGTTTTATAGATTTACAGATATGTATTTCAGATGGATAGGGATTCTTCAATTCTTTCAGAGATCTTCAGAATATGGCATTTAAAGTGTTTTAATAATTGGGACATTTTATGACAGTGAGACACATCTGCTCCTGGCAGGACTAAGCTACTTCAAGAGGATGATGGGCATCAAAAAGGCTCCTTATAGAGTTTGCTAGCCGTCTGGGAAAGAAACAGCTCTTGCCTTGGCTGCTTGATGGCATGCTAAGTGAACTGGACATGCAAGACCCACAGAAAAAATGACTGTTGAACTTGCCTAAAGGTGAAATGATCTTTTAGGCAAGATAAAAGAGTCTACAAGACATTCTTCAGGGCACAGAAAAAAGTCACTGACAAACTGCCATTATAAGCAGAATTGTCTTTGAAATGTCCTATATAATGGAGAAGTCTGCTGGATACCATGGGCCTGAATGCTGAAGATGGATGCCCCAAATGTACAGAAGAGCTTTGGGTAATTGTTCAGGTATCAAGATGTCTCTGTCAATTCTAGAGTTTTGGAAGTTGTTTACAATGAACTTCCTGATTACTTAGGTAATATTATAGCCTTCTGGAGTCTTTGATGAAGTTCAGAAATAGATATATAATTATAGTTTTATAAATCGATTAAATCATGAAAAAGTTAATGCAAACAACCATTGCTGACAGTTCTAGTAATCTACAAATTGAATTCCATAATTTCCAGGATTTTTACCAATCTTCTTCTTGACAACATTTTCCCCATTTTTTCCACTACCAGAATATCTCGTTGTATTAAATACCAGATATGGAACCTTATTATCCATAAAAAACCAAGTGCATTGATTGCACAAACCCTCACCTATATTATTCTTCATCCCACAAAAGAAAACTTGTCTATTGATCAAGTTTGAAGAGAGTAATGAAGGCTCATCTAGTCAGTATCCCCTTCTAAGATCATCTAATTGTTGCTCTGTTTAATTTCCTGACTACTCAGGATAATTGGCCTCGTAAATACTGGTAATTTTGTGAAAAGTTTGAGCTATTTTTTCTTACCTTGGAGTATATTGGAAAATAAAAGAGTTAAAACTGTTAAAGGGGAGAAAATTACACATCTACATCCCTAATGACAATAAACTGGAAAGAATATGTGATAATAAACAAAGTAAAACCTTCTATCATGTAGAAAATATGACATATGTGTATGGAAGCATCAAATATGCAGATTGTTACAGGACAGCACTTCTGCATGTTGAACATTAACACTTGCAGTCTCCATCTCACATTGTCCTGGAAGGTTTACTCATAACAGTTTGTGTCAGAAATAAATACTACACTTTTCTTGTTCTTAACTGAGTGGTCCTCAAGTAAAACAAGATTTTTACTATTTTTCAAAAAGAGGGCATAACTTTGTGGAAAGTAATGTACACAGCAATCTAAACAGTATATATAAGTCGAACAACCTGCAAATCACAAAATAAAAAAGATAGACTTCAATCTAATTATTAACATGAGTAATCAACAATCCCAAATGAAAGCAGGACGTAAATGGTTTTACAATACCATAAACTCAGGGATGGGTTCTCCTCCATTGTCAGGTTTTGGAATGTAGAGAGGAAAGATGGCTTTACTGCTTGAACTGTAACCTTTCTGAGCAGCTCAGTCAGATGCTGTATGAGAAATAAACAATATATGTTAAAGGAGAAAATATGAATAAATAGATCTTAGTACACTTAAAGTCATAACCATGTATTTCTGGATTATTAGTAACATGCATTTATATTTATAACATAGCAATACATTGACTTTAGAAGTCAATAATTTTGAAAGCTATCCAGAGGTTAAAAGTATCTCATACACAGTGAAGATATATTACTTTGTGATCTATTTTAACTTCATAAGATAGCCAAGATTGACACAATATTCAGATACAAGAATAAAGACTGGGAACTAAAGTTTTCACTCATATTTCAAAACTTAGGACAAATTATTTATCACGAGGTCATTTGGATTTGGTATATAGTTAAATATATATTAGTGAAATGAAATCAGGTGCACCAAATGAACACTTAAATACATTTGTGTTTATTTATATGTATGTGTAAGGATTCTGCAATATGTGAACAGTTTTATTAAGACAAAGTCAACTTCGGAGTTCCTCCTCCATCCAATTCCAGCTTATTTTCATTGAGACATAGCCTGCATTCTATCCTAGAGTTCACCAGCCTGTTAGACTGGTAGATCAATTCTGGTATCATAATGGGATTATATGCAAGTGTGTGTGTGTGTGTGTGTGTGTGTGTGTGTGTGTGTGTAATATCACTGGATTTTAAAAATTTCTGATATTTGCAGATGACACAGTAATTTTGAAAACTCTTGGGACAAGTGGATTCAATATGAAAACTGAGTTCTTTACTCAACAACACATAAAGTACATAGAAATTTTCATATACAAATACATATCTAGATATTAAAACTTAGCAAAGACAGCAATTTATTATTGTCACATTAATAAAATACTTTGTAATATTGAGGCAGAAATGTCTGAAAAATATTATAATAAAGAAAACTATGTATTTTGTATAATGAATTATATACTCAAACAGGCCTGGTAACACAAATAGGGATTTTGCAGCATCAACAATTGCCTATTAGTTAAGGTGTTGGGAGAAGACCCTGAATAAGAAAAGGCAGTGTGCATACAAGCTCCATGTGTATATCATCACCCATCTCTTAAAACTGCTCACTCTGCTACTTCAGTTTACCAGTATGATGTCTGTTATGCATCATAAATAATAATAAAGTGATAACAAATAAAATAGCAACTACCCTTTAATAATAGACAAAAAATGAAGTAAAAAGTCAAAATCCGAAACAGGTCATGACATACCTTATTAAAAGAGATAGGTTAGTCAAGAGATTCAAGTATTCTTAAACATTATATTGGATAAGTTATTTGATCAGAAAGTATAAAATATTCCACAACTCTAGATTTAAACAATATAAGGAGGACATACATAATATTATGACTTGTCATTTCTGCAAAGTGGTTCTATTAGGATTCAAGAGGTAAAATTACAAAACAATCAGGAGAAACTACAAGGATGGTCAAAATAAGAACTAAATATTTTATATTTTCTCAAAATTTTTTAATACATATCAATTATGTATACAGATAATCAGAAGTTGCACACATTTTGGAAGATAATCTGCACAACAGGGGCAATGACTACCTAAGAAAAACATCAAAACCAGACAAAAAAATCTTGCATTCAAATTGTTGGTAAGGGAGCCCAGGATACTAACAAGATAATAGTCTGTGGTGACCTTGGTTGCTTCCAAGAAGTGGAAGTTAAGTCCCTGTTGCTGAAACACTAAGTTTTTGTTAGGGAACTATAAAAATTTGAATAGGAACTACATAAATCACTGGGCATGTAGAATAGCTATCAGAGACCAGGAAGTTTTTAGGAAAGCTGTCAAGAAAACGAAAAGGCTTGAAATGTCCAATTTAGTTATAATAACTTTGAATGATAATAACCAGCATGGCTAGATTTCACTAAAGGTACAATACTTTCTCATAAATCTCATCAATAACTAATGTCTACCTAATTGAGCTCAAGTCTTCCTTCAAAAGATGTAAAGCACGTTGAATATTGCAAATCACAAACATTACATGGTTGTTGAGTCCATGTAACTTAGAGGCCATTAACACCACATTCATAAAATGATATAATATCCAACAGCATTATCATTTGGTTGTTGTATCCAAAGAAAATTTTAGAACTAAAAATGAACTGGTTATATTTACACATTACTATGTGTGTATATAGATTAGTGTGTAATACATAATAAAAATAATGAATTAGGAGGTAATGATTTGAAAGTGGGGTGAGGACTACACAGTAAGAGTTTGAGAAATACTGATGTGGAAAATATGAAAATACACGTTTTTATTAAATTCTTGTATTTTAAATATAAAATAGTAGTATATAGGAGAGTGAGTTAAGAAATACAGTTTTAGTGAAGTAGAACAGGACAGGAGAATTGGGATGAAAATGACTAAAATTCATATAAATGTATGAAATCTTTCTATTTATTATGAAAGATAAATCAAAGAAGAAGAAGAAAATATTCTAGAAATCAGGTCATGCATTGAACTTGAATTTTACATAGTTGAATGGAAGTAATTCCTACTACAATCCTCAAAGGTTCAGTATGTCCCCAAAGTTTAGAAAGAAACAGCTACAAGTGGATACCACTTCACAGAACATTTACTGGACATTGTCTTCAGGAAAATTATTGGAAAAACGAGTAGTATTTGTTTCTATAGTAAGTAACATAAACTATGTCTAATTAAAATGAATGGGATGTACGATTTACAGAAATAGACATATACAAAGTATTTGGACTTATAAATATATCCATCAAACATAGTACTACACGAATACCTAAGAAATTTAATTGAATGTTACATGAAAGAAATTAGTAATTGACAGTGTCCTTTGCTTTACAGAAGTTTCTCAGCTTTAGTAGGTCCCATTTATTCAATGTTGCCCTTAGTGTCTGTGCTGCTGGGGTTATACTTAAGAAGCGATCTCCTGTGCCCATCTGTTGTAGGGTACTTCCCACTTTCTCTTTTATCAGGTTCAGTGTGTTCGGACTGATATTGAGGTCTTTGATCCATTTGGACTTGAGTTTTGTGCAAGGTGATAGATATGGGTCTAATTTCAATCTTCTACATGTTGACATCCAGTTGTGCCAGCACCATTTGTTGAAGATGCGTTCTTTCTTCCATTGTATACTTTTAGCTCCTTTATCGAAAATGAGGT